CAGTGAGCGCAGGTACCTACTGAGTGCGAGTGCCGAGTGCAAGTGCCGAGCGATTGGGAGGATTGAGTGACTGTGAGGACTGAGTGACTGGGAGGATTGAGTGACTGTGAGTACTGAGTGAAATGATACTTTCAGAGTATGCATATGGTTTTATTACTGAGTTGCATCGCATTGACATGCACACTTGACATACAGGCATAGAGATGCATTTTTCCTCATGTTGTATGATATTGCGTCATTCATGACTTCTCCTATATATTGACATATAGGCATAGAGATGTATTTTCCTCATATTATTTAAAAATGAAACAACTACATGTTGAAAGTTTTGGGAAAATCACATTTTTCAAACTTACTCATGAATTGGTGATTTCGATAAAGGATTTGGGATTTCACTGATATATTCTATTATGTTGTTATGAACTATTGTTGGCTATTGGTGTTGGACCCTGACCTTTATTCTAGCTCGTCACTACTTTCAACCTAAGGTTAGGTTTGTTACTTATTGAGTACATGAGGTCAGTTGTAGTCATACTACACTTCTGCACCTTGCGTGCAGATATTGGATATTGATGTTGTTGTGATCGACGAGGGCTGGATTTGAAGATGTACCTGTGTTTCGGTCGTAGCTGCCTCTTATTTATGGTAGCCTTAGATTTATAAAAATCTGTTTATGTACATTTCGAACAGATGATGTATTTATTTCATACCAGCTTTATAAATTCTAATCTTAGAAGCTCATTATTTGTACTACGAGTCCTTGGGGAGTGTATTAAAGTCAGTTAAATATTAATTAAATTGGATAGTTGTTAATTGGCTTACCTGACGGGTTGGGTTAGGTGCCATCACGACTATGTAAATTTTGGGTCGTGACAAGGTGGTATAGAGCTCTAGGTTCATAGGTTCTACAAGTCATGAGCAAGGTGACATGTGCACGGATTGCACGGTTTGTGGCTTGAGTTATATCGGTGTGGCATGTCATTAGAATAGTTGTATCTTATGATATAAGGTCATTGGACCTAGAATGGGTATTGTCAGGTTGATTACGGTGTGTTTGTGAGGAATAATTTTAGAAGTCAGCTTAGATAATTGGCTATGGTCCTTGTCGAACGAGAGAAAGCTCCATGACTTGTTGATCTAATAAGTGGTTATGATATTCTACGTGTTTATTTCATTATTGGCAGGTACGAAGGTTTTGGAATGAGGTCTTATTTCATTTAGGGTTTAATACTGGTACCGGGTTTGTTTTTAGTCGTTACTGTGATTGGGATTGTGCTACGAGTATGCGAGTTGTGTGGTATGTTATGTGATTATATCTTGGGTTATGGTTAAGGCTTAATACTGCTTGTTCAAACTTATACAGTGTGTAAATGCAAGATTTAGGTCTTGTAGAAAATTTCGGATGTTGGAAATTGGATTCTAAGGTTTACGGACTAAGGATAAAGTAATGAACTTTATTTATGTTGTGTTGTCAGGACTAGGGTGACGTGGGATCACCCCCCGAGTATGTGCGTGGTAAGGTGGCACAGTGATCTCAAGGCTTAGGAACAACTCTTGGCACGTTAGAGGACGAACGTATGTTTAAGTGGGGAGAATGTAACGACCCGACCGGTCATTTTGAGCATTTGCATTCCGTTCAACTATTTGAAGAATGAATTTCATAGTTGAAGCTTTAAGTTGGAAGAGTTGACCAAGTTAGGCTTTATAGTATTCGACCTCAGATCGAAATTTTGATGATTCCATTAGATCCGAATGGTGATTTTGGACTTGAGCATATGCCCAAAATTTCATTTGAATATTTCTAGAAGGTTTTGGTGCTATTCGGCGAAAATTAAAAATTTGAAGGTTTTGAATGTTCATAGGTTTGACCGGGAGTTGAACTTTAGGATATCGGATTCTGATTGTGGTTCCGGAAATTTTAGTAGCTTTGTTATGTCATTTGGGACTTGTACGCAAAATTTGAGTTCATTCTGAGTTGAATTGATATGGTTCGACACGAGTTTTGGAAAACAAAAGATCGAAAATTTTATAAGTTTGAATTGAGGTATTATTTGTCGTTTCGATGTTGTTATGTGTGATTTGAGGCCTCGAGTAAGTCCGTATTATGCTATGGGACTTGTTGGTATATTCGGACGAGGTCCCGAGTGGCTCGGGTGAGTTTCGGGGTGGTTTCGGACCATTTTTAGGTAATTTTTTGTTGCTGGTTTTGGCTACAACAGTGTGCATTGTGATCGCGTAGAATTGCTCACGATCATGAAGAGTAAAATGGGAAAAATGGGCCTGTAAATCGCGATCGCGTAGAGGAAAATTTTGTTTTCACTGACCCAACAGAATACGCGCGTAATGAAATTTTTGGAGTATTGTTTAGCTTGTTCGGTATTAGATTCGGCCTGTTCGAGGTAAGTGTCACTTCTAAACTTTGAGTTGAGGGTATGAACCCTTGATTCTACGTGTTATGTGATTGGTTTTGAAGTGACGCACATGCTAGGTGACGGGCGTGTAGACGTATACCGTGTGAATTGTAACTCAATCAATTTCGTGGAGCTGTGTAATAAAATAACTTGTTATTTTTCCATGTATTTTTCACGTGTTAGCGAAACTCAGTTGTGACTCATGTTAAAAATCATGCTTAGGCATATGCTGGTATTATTAGGACCCGCTGAGGTCATTTCTACTGCTGAGTTATATGTTTAAACTGTAATTTCATACTCAGTCATATTTATTTATTTCATATCATATCTCAGTCTCTGTTGCTATTTATTGATACATCATATCATTATTTTGGACTGATGTTCTTGGCATTTTTTAGCCCGAGAGACTGGAGAGATTGATGACTAAGTGAGGCTGAGGGCCTGATTGTGAGGATATTTATGGGATCAGGCCGCATACCGTAGCTTGTTTTATTCATTCATGCCGGGATTTGACTTATTATAGCGCTTGGGGTGGATCTGCCTCTATGGAGTTTGCACACCGACAGTGAGCGCAATTACTATTTATATTTGGACTGGATTATTCCTAGGTTGGATTTGCCATATACTGTACTGAGTGACTGAGTGTAAGGATTTATTTCAATTTGGGTTGGATCTGCCGTGTACAGTGCTGAGTGACTGAGTATGCTAAGTATTGAGCATGATGAGTGAGAGTTCGAGACAGTGAGATTGAGTACTCTGAAAGTATGAGCACATGAGTTCATCACAGTGATGCATTGCATTTGACATACATATTTGACATATAGGCATAAAGAAGTATTTTTTCCTCATGCCATTTGATAATGAAATTTCTTAATGTGGAAAAAAGTTTTTGAAAAAAATCACAGTTTTCAAATTCACTCATATATTTTGGTGATTTCGGTAAAAGATTTGGGTTTTACTATTATACTTGAAAAATGCATACTTATTTTTTCGAAAATTGTAAACGAGCGGAGTATCATATTTTGAGTTAGTACTTGCATTGTTTCATTTATCTTTTTCTGAGCTGTTTCTTGACTGTTGATGTTGGATTCTGACATTTGTCCAAACTCGTCACTACTTTCAACCTAAGGTTAGGTTTGTTACTTATTGAGTACATGTGGTCGATTGTACTCATACTATACTTTTGCACCTTCCGTGTAGATTTTGAATGTTGATATTGTTGCGTATGGTGAGAGCTGGCATTGAAGATGTGCCTGCGATCCGGTCATAACTGCCTCTTATTCTTGGCAGCTTTAGAATTATTAGTCTGTCCATGTATATTTCAAACAGATGATGTATTTTATTTCATACCAGCTTTGTAAATTTTAAATCTTAGAACTCATGATTTGTACTAGCAGTATTTGAGAAATATAATAAAATTTGTTATAATATCTTTAGTTTCTCGGGTAAATCTCCTTTGAATCAGATTGTTGTTATTTTGGTTTACCTAACGGGTAAGGTTAGATGTCATTACGACGGGTTGGATTTTGAGCCGTGAAATGCGTGCTAGCCCATCAGACCGGTCAAAGACTCATGAGGAAATTGCGCAGGAGGAGAAAGAACGGCTGGAATTGTTGGAGGTATGACTGTGCTATGACAGAATCTAGAGCTCCTTGTTCTATTAGTAAATTGCACAATTATTATCCAGACCAACTCAACTCCTTTTGACAGCGTTTTCTTTTTGAGGACTGAGGATCCTGTTTCTATTGATTAATTTTAATATAGATACTTTTGTTTATTCGTAAAACGATACAGTTAAATTTATACGTATTTTTTTGATAAGTGAATTAATTTGATCTTGAAATAATATAACAATTAAAAAATATATAATACTTAGCCTTAAAATATAGATGAAACGGTAGACATGACAATTCCGAGAACAAAGCTTCTAGGCACAGCAATGATGAAATCAACAAGCAAGTAAATAAAATTGTATTAAGTTTTGTCTATAATACAGTGTAAGTTTAGCCAGAGAATTGTCATTTCTAATGGTAACTGAGCTCACTATTTATAACTATGTCTATGGAAAAAGATCTTAGGATCATTCCCTCCTTTAATGTCAATTATGAGGGTCATTGATGAAGATGTAACGGTGAACATAAATGTCAATTTCTCTTTAACGGACCATCATCTTAATGCTGCAGAATATTCCTTGATAAATGCTACTGGACGCGGAGCATTTAATGCAACTTTACGAACGCTATCCTTTCCGGTGACAAGCAGAGTGGTTGTGTTCGGTTCTTAGCCATCCCATCTTGAATTCCGCGTGTCCTCCTCTTGGTCAGCCACGTGTCATATCATATTTTACCCTTTAATATTATCCATATGTGCTTTCAAGTGGTTGTAATGCATGACTTCATTGTCTGCTCGGTGGTTGATGTTCTTGCATAATCATTAGTGTTCTTTAATGCCTTCATCAGGAAACTGGCTACTGTGTATTAGTAGTGATTGCTTTTTTAGAGCACATTCTCACAATAAATTCCCTTAGCAAGGAAATTTAGCTGGATTACTATTTCAAAGATCTAACGCTATTACGATAGGCATCATTTTGGTTGGATAAGGAGCATTTATGTTTTGGTTATAGTAGATATTTTTTAATAAAAGCTTTATCATTTTTCAGCAAGAACATCAGAAGAGAATGGCTGCTGCTGATGATAAGAGTGATGAAGATGGAAATGCATCTGATAATAACAGTAAATTGGTTAAAGACCCAAGAACTGTATCTGGCGATGATCTTGGGGACGATCTTGAGGAGGTGCTTAGAACTAAGATGGATTGGATTGGCGAGATTTTGAGAAGGAAAGAAAATGAACTTGAGAGTGAAGATGCTGCTTCTAGTGGGGATTCAGAGAGTGACGAGGACGATGGTGAGGAATGAGGATGAAGGAAGTGACGATGGGGAAGATGAAGGAAGTGACGAGTATGATGAAGAACAAGGAAAGACACAGACTATTAAGGACTGGGAGCAAAGTGACGATGATATTATTGATACCGAGCTAGAGGATGATGACAAAGGCTTTGGTGATGATGGTAAGAAGGTGGTGAAAATAAAGGGCCATAAGGAGGTATCCATCAAGGGAAAACAAGTTGGCACTTTACAAACCGAAAAAGAAAAAGTGAACGTGAAGCATCGGCAAAACGAACTTCCCTATACAATTGAAGCCCCCAAAACCCTTGAGGAGTTTAATTCATTGATAGACAATTGTTCTGATGATCAAGTTATGGAAGCAATTAGGAGAATTCGTGCATTCAATGCAATAACTGTCGCAGCAGAGAATAAAAAGAAAATGCAAGTATGATACTCTGTTCTCACTGTAATTTCTTTAAGATTGATGTTTGACTTCTGAGACTTTCTTCCTTTTCCTTTGTGTGAACAAATGGTATGAAGTTTTGCCTTGAATTTTTAAGAGTATTCACCATTTAACTGTATGTGAATATATCTGTACGATTGATCAAAAATGCATGTTGTGTTGTTAGATGATAAGGTTATGGGTACATATAGATAAGTCATTTTTGGGGGGCAAGTCTTTGCAACCTCAATTGCTTTATAAGCAGCTTGTTTCTTTCGTCAGGTTTTTTACGGGGTATTGCTGCAATATTTCGCTGTGTTGGCAAATAAGAAGCCATTGAATTTCAAGCTTTTAAATATGCTTGTAAAGCCGCTGATGGAGATGAGTGCAGCGACTCCATACTTTGCAGCGTGCTCGCCAAAGGCTACAAAGGACAAGGGCACAGTTTTGTGAAGATCTTAAGAATACAGGTTGGCTTTGATAACCTGTTTGTTTCTTTAGTTGTTCTTTCTATCTCAGCTTGCATTCCTTGGCTTTACTTCTTGTGTTTAATTCGTTTCATCCATCCTCATAGGAAAAAGCAGTTGGCCATCTTTGAAGACCATCTTTCGGTTGAGGCTTTGGTCCATGATATTTCCATGCTCTGATTTTCGCCATTGTGTCATGACTCCTGCTATACTACTAATGTGTGAATACCTTATGCGGTGTCCCATCATTTGTGGAAGAGATATTGCAATTGCTTCCTTCTTGTGCTCTTTGCTTCTAAGTGTAAGTGGATACCATGTTTCATTTATCTCCCATGCGCTGAAATTGATCATTTGTTTAGATTATGAGCGCTGGAATTTTGTTTGGATGTGTAGTGTACTGTCTCAGCCTAGCATATATCTTCTTACTTTATTGATAGTATGTGTGCCGTAGTAAACTTCTGCAACTTACCCTCCTTGGTCTAATTTTGTCAGTTCATCTATCTTTGAAACTATTTATAGTTATCTCCTTTGTTTCTCCCTCTTCCTGCTTAGTTTTTTGATGAATAAATTCCCTCTTCCTCTGCCTAGTTTTGTATTTAATACATCATTTTAGTCAAGTGTGAGTCTGCGAGAGCAGTGATTCCTTAGAGAGCTAGTTGCTTTTTAAGTCACGACTTTAATTGCAAACATTTTCAATATCTTGCTCATTTGCTTGTATATCTCTTATTAGTTTCATTTGTGATCTTCTAAAGATTTTGGTATACACACGTGGTGTTTCTCATGCTCGAGATTATGAATTCATACCCTAGCTTTGCTTGTTTAAGGTGTAAAAGGCTTCAGAAACTTTATTAGTTTTCTTCACAATTTGTAAGAGCTACTTCTGATGTACCTCTTGTACATGTCTGCATACACTTGATGCTGTTACATATATACAAATTTACCTTACCAAAGAACTAAAAAAGGCTTCAGAAGAATGTCACCTGAAATTTATGTGTCAATCTCATATTTTTTATTTGGTAGTGTCTTTTTCTTGAACAGGATATTTGGTAGGCAGTCTTAAATTTCACTTTTCCTTACTCATAGGTAGTGGTAGAAAAATGGTTAAAAGAAAATAGTTATCGGACCATATTATCCATTATAAAATGGGTTGGATAATGAATTTTTTAAAAAAAGGTCCAATATCGATAAGAACCATATTATTCACTTAAAAATGGTTAACCAATGGATAACTAATGAGTTTAACTTTTACATTCGTAAAGTCTCAAATTGAGGGTTTATCAAGTTTAGGAGACTAAGAATTTTTTAAAAGTGATTATATTCAAGAAGTCGTGGATAATATGAATATCTATATTATCCGCCGGTTAACCCATTTTTTTATCCGTATTAAATATAGGTCGGGTTAGATAATTTATCCGTTTTTTGCATTACCCGCTTTCGACTTGTCCATATCCGCCGGACCCGCCCGTTTGTCACCCTACTCATAGGTAATGTTGGAATGATGTTATTTAGTATCTCGCAATTCGGTCTCTTTAATTCTTTGCAGGTTTAATGAGTTCATATGAAGAACTTATTCCCATATCATTTCGTTTTGACACCATAAGCCCGGGCAAATTAGAGGCTAGATAACCCAGGTAGTGATATAGAAGTACCTCACGTATCCACCAATTTATCCAATGAGCTGAGCGAAGCCCACTGTCTAATACTCCCTTGTTCCCTATTTATTATTACTTTTGTTGTATGTTCCAAAAAGATTGCACCTTTTTATACTTCGGAAGTAGTTTACTTAAACATTCTCATCTTGTCATTGGTACGGCTTTGTTGCAGTCTCCACTGGAAATGTAAACTAATACTTTAACTTGGTACTATGTGTAATTTTTGTAATTTTGTGCATATTTAGCTTATTATCCAAACTCTTTGTTTCTTCCTTAGACTTTGTGTTCGGTCAAACACAGTCAAACAAATTGGAATAGAGGGAGTATCTTGCTTAGGACTTTTTCAGGTTAATGGAACCAGATTATTAGCAATAGTCAACTAGTCATCCCCCTTGCACCTATGAGTGACTGCACTCGACTCAAGTTGGTTAGGGTAGCTATGTGTGATTTATCCTCAACTGTGGGTCAAACAGCACGTGAAATTAAAGATCGGTTGATCGTAGGAACACACATTTTGGGATTAATTTTTGGTTTTTATTTCATTTATTCTCAAAAACATTCTTCCTGGTTGATGGTGTTTGCAATTACAGAATGATCATATGAACTTAGTTCTCCAAGCTTATGGATATCAACTTCTTGCCCTGAGGCTATAGTATTTATTCAAACTTTGCTGATGGCGGCTTTAGACAGAAAACAGCGGTCTAATTCCCAGGTTTGGCTTAGCTGAAGCTTATGATGTTCTTCTTGCTAATCTAATTCTTGAAGCTATTAACCATCGCCCTTTTCTAATTTTGCAAATACTTTTTATTGTCATTTCATTGGGATGTGTTTTGGTTGCATCCTTCCACTTGTGAATTGACAGGCATGTTCTTGTGCTGCAGTTGGAGATCAAGGAACTTGGGTCTTTGCTTTGTATACGCAGTAGCAAAGTGGAGATGGATTCTTTAGATTTTCTTACGCTGATGGACTTACTAGAGGACTCTCAGTATTTCCACATAACTACAGGTTAGTTAGCGTTCTATTGACATGCATATGGACAAATCTATTAGATGAATCCCAAAGTTTGTTAAATTGTTAAATATGGCTCTATGTTAAGATACTTGAAACAAATTAGAAATAATATGTTCAATAAGTTTCTGTCTAGGTCCATTCAAGATGTGGTTTGTTATTCTAACTTCCAATATCCTAATATTATGATTGTCAATCAGCTGGTTAACATAACAAGTATCTCTTCTTGAAATTTTACACCTAATTTGCTTTTCTGGGAACCTGGAACTTGATGCGATTATATGGTTTCTCATTCAGGGCCAGCATGCCTGTAGCAGTTCTGGAATCACTGCAAGGATTTGTAAATCTATATAAGGAACTTATTTCTTTTCCTGAGATTTTCATGCCAATTTCAAAATTATTATGCAAATTGGTTGGAGAAAATCATATTCCAGATGCATTAAGGGAGAAAATCAAGGATTTTTCCCAATTAATTGACACGAAGGCTCAGGATCATTACATGCTGCGTCAACCACTGAAAAAGCGGAAGAAAAAGCCCATGTCCATCAGGATGCTTAATCCGAAATTTGAGGCGAAGTAATATACTTTCTTACTGCACTATCTGAAATTAAACAAATCAAATTGTGTTTGTTTCCTATTGAGCTTAATCACCTGCTGATCATCTACTTCTACAGCTTTGTCAAGGGTAGAGATTATGACCCAGATCGTGAGCATGCTAAAACGAAAAAGTTGAAGAAACGTCTGAAACATGAAGCTGAAGGTCCTGCGCGTGAACTGTTCAAGGATAATAGGTTCTTGGCCGAGGCGAAGGAAAGAGAAAAGGCCCTACTAGCCGCAGAAAAGTCTGAGAAACATGGGAAAAATCTTGCTTTTCTTCAAGAACAAGAGCATGCATTTAAATCAGGGCAATTGGGAAAGGGCCGGAAGAGAAGAAAATGAAATTAGCTTTTGGTTGTCGCTTGGAAAATCTTATTGTCAAATGCTTCCTGGTTTTTGGTAAGATTTCATTCTTTATGTTGCATTGACAGTGAATATATAATCAATTATTTTCCATGTGTTGTTTGTCATCTTCAAATATTTGAACTAAATATGGTCGTCATATGTAGTAGATGTAGAATACTAATGAACAACCCCTAATGCTACAAATCAGTGTGAAAACTATTATTGCTACAAGTTAATGAAAGTTTGCTCCTTCATTATTCCATGGCAAGGAAGATGCAGAATGTTGGAAGTACTGAGGGATTAAACGAACTGTCGCGTGCTCTGAATGCTGGATTCATGTGGTTACTATATGCGTCTTCTCTCTTTCCCTCCAACTATGCCATAGTGATGCCCATTGAAATTGGTTGCTGTATTTGGTCCTATCATAGGCTCGTGTTGTGTAGTGGAAGAGCTCTCCAATTTTGTTTTATGTCTGTGATGAATTGGCCATATACAGTGCTGAGTGACTGAGTGTATCGAGTGATTGAGCATGATGAGTGGAAAGTGTGAGACAGTGAGATCGAGCACTCTAAGAGTGTGAGTACATGAGACCATCACTGAGATACATTCCATTTGACATGCATGCTTGAGATACATGCATAGAGATGCATTTCTTTCTGCCACTCCAGTTTTGGTGTCATTCATTATTTTACCTGCATATTGACATGTAGGCATAGAGATGTATTTTTCTCATGTCATTTGATAATGAAACATCTTATTTGTTGTTGAAAAGTTTTTGGAAAAAATCACAGTTTTTAAAATTACTCATAAATTTTGTGATTTCGGTAAAGGATTTGGGTTTTCACTGATATATTTGAAAAGCAAGCCTATTTTTTTGGTAACTGTGAACGAGCTGAGCATTTTGTCTCTGAGTTACTCCTTTTACTATTTCCATTATGTTGTTATGAACTGTTGTTGGCTATTGGTGTTAGACCGTGACCTGTGTTCCAGCTCGTCACTACTTTCAACCTAAGGTTAGGTTTATTACTTTTTGATTACATGGAGTCGGTTGTACTCATACTACACTTTTGCACCTTGCGTGCAGATGTTGGATGTTAATATTGCTGTGATCGACCGAAGTTGGATTTGAAGATGTACATGCGTTTCAGTTGTAGTTGCCTCTTGTTCATGGTAGCCTTAGATTTATAAATATCTCTTTATGTACATTTTGAACAGATAATATATTTATTTCATACCAACTTTGTAAATTCTAATCTTAGAAGCTCATGATTTGTACTACCAATCTTTGTGAAATTTTTGTATAAAGGCAGTTGTATTTTCATTTCTTTTCTTAATAAATCTCATTTAAATTGGATAGTTGTAAATGGGCTTACTTGACGTGTTGGGTTAGGTGCCATCATGATTAGGTGGATTTTGGGTCGTGACAGGGTGGTATCACAGCTCTAAGTTCATAGGTTCTACAAGTCATGAGCAAGTGTCTAGTAGAGTCTTGCGGATCGGTATGATGGCGTCCATACCTATTTTCGAGAGGCTACAAGGCATTTAGGATAATCTTCCCATTTTTCTTTTCTTAACGTGCGACATTGATTCAGCTTGAAACATAACTCTTTTAATTCCCTCCACACATTTGTGTGCTCATGTGAGCGCTCGATATCAGTTGTGCATCGCCGACTTATGATTCCATGGATGAGTTGCGAGATGTGATTTCAGTGTGTTGATGAAGGGCCAGTCTGGAGGATTTGAGGTTGAGTTTTGACCGTAGGTTGACCACAAGAATTTTTGTGTGAGCACGTACTTTTGGACTTATAAGTCCGGTAGTGTCCCTATTAATGGAATTTGCGGCTCGATGAGTGTTTGGAAAACCATATGGTAAGTATGATGTGACTGCGGGATGTGTTTACATAGTTTGAATGTGATGGGAAGAGTTTGCTTGGGGTGTGAGAAGGACTATTGGGTGCTTGATTTTCGTCTTGATGTGACGTATAGTCTCGATTTATGAGTGTGTTGAAAGATTTTTCATGTTCTTTAATTGTAGAACGAAGTAGATTTTCATGTCTTGCTATGAGTTCATACTCAGCAAGATTAAGTGATGGCGTAGTAATCGTGGCTGCGAAAGGGTATAGCAATATGTCAATTTAAGGCTAAGCAGGTGGGTTATGACATGCGAGGTAATCTACGGAGGTGTGATCCTTATAATATTGTGTGAAAAGTTCCATTTCTACCAGCGGAGTATATGTGTTGAGATTGAATTTGAATTTGGTTGAGAGAGTCGACCTGGCCATCACGTGGATGTATGCGGGCTTAGTAGATAATTGAGGTAATATATGGTTTATGTTATGTGAGCCTATGACGAATTTAGTTGAATCGCCCTGCGGTATTATGGCAGTAATAAAGTATGGGTATGGTGAATTATCATATGTTCTATTCTGTGGCATTGAGCTCAGTGGAGGAGTCTTCTATCGACGATTTGATTGTGTGATTATGTGTTGCATTGGTTTTGGTCTGAGGCATAATTGTGGGTTGGTTATGACTTGTATAGGTTGAGATCGAGAATGACTCGAGTAAAGAAATTTCTGAATACAGGATGTGTTACACTTTATGGGTATATGGGAATCATGTGATGATTGGGTTGTTATTCGTGAAGGATGTAGTGCGCGTGAAATAGGAAATTGCTCGGTTGCTTAAGGGTGTGGATTACTTCTTTGGGGGTGTTGTGCTAATGGGGCAACGCAATTGACATTTGAGCAGAATGGATGACTCTCGGGAAGGTTCTAATGGATTCAAGATGTATATGTGATAATTGAGAATTTATTTGGATTTGTATATGGCTAGACTTCGAGATTTGCGTCGTATGGTGTCGGGACTCGCGGTATTTTCCGTATCACTATGAATTCTACATTTCAGTATCAGGAAGGTAAAGAAAATAAGTTCAGGTTCACATAAGGACTCTTCGGAATGGGTGTTTCGATTGTGGTACTTTTGGGGTGTTTAAGAGGGAATACAATAGCTTATGGGCCTTAGGGCGGTGTGGTTTTATGCTAGGATCTCTGGTGGTGAGGTTTGGGTGAGGATCCTGGTATTCTAACAAGGAGAAATGTCAGCTTAAGGGCAATTCGGAAGGAACTCGGAGAAATGGGACAACTTGGTAGTAGGTTGGATCAGTACGGTAATAGATATGATCGGTTCTTTGGGTACTTATGTTGTGGTGAGGCTCTAAAGGTATTTTGGTATCAATACTCTTGGGTTTGGAAACCTGCGTGGCTTGGTTGAGTTGGAGAGACTCAGTTCTGATGGTTTGGTTATGGGCAAATGAGTTTCGAAGAGTTCTAGATGTTTCTCTCATGGCTTGGGATGGATATTTCCTATTGGCGTAAAGAACATGTTGCGTATTGTAATTTTCTAATGGACGAGATCAAATGGAAGGTTTCTGACCGATCGGGTATGTATTCTGCTTGTGACTTAGAGTTGATTATGAGATTCTCGTACGTGTCATATGATGGCATGATAGATGTAGTATGTTGTATAGGATTGAGTTTTGCATGTGCAAGGTCACAGTTCATATTTGGAGGGAAGGTCATGAATTTTGGACAGCATGGACAGTTTCAGATATATAGATGAATGTTATAACTGCTTGGTAATTCCTGACAAGGGTGAGCATTTTAGAAGGCGCACTAAGTCTTGTCATACAGATGCTTCATTGGTATTGTGGTACTCACCTGGTTGATCGACTGCTGATATTCATATTTTGCTATGTGGCACCAAAGAATTTTAGAATTAATTCTCGTAAGGTGATCGTGTATAAGAGAGGTGCTAGACATTCGGGTGATGAAGTTGGGATCAGATATAGTGATTCATGTGTTCTATGGACTTGGAGACCATGAGTTCTCAGAAACAGATTGTTTCGTGGTTGTGGAATGTGAAGGTGTGGCCGAAGCTAGCCAGATGATAGTATGCGTTATGATTCAGTCATTGTGGACTTTTGGAGGACTATTTATCTATTTGTGGATGACCAGAGTTGATTTGGGATCCATTGGTAGGTCCAATGAGGATGTGTATGCTACACCGGATCGGATTGGTCGACTCCGTACTGCTTATTCGTGTTCTGATATGTTCAATGAGTTACCCTTCTATGCCATGATGGGTTTTGATTTGTTAGGTATAAGCACACATGGTGCGGTTCTATTTGGACCTTATAGCGGAATTTGATCGATGAGGGTATTAGGCTGTGGAATGAGTAATTGCGCATTGGTTATGTTCTTTCCGGACTGTGGTATTGTGTTATTTGTTTCTCTGTGGTTATGGTCATACATCTTGGGTACTTGATGTTGAATTGCATGTGGTTTTTTTATTTCGGGTAGGGTGGCTTGAGGTATTTCATATGGACCCGTGTTTGGATGGGGGTCATGCATTACAGCTGGGATATGTCGGGACATGATCCTTGTGTTAGATTCGTGTGTCTTGGTTCTACTATGTATAATGGGTTTGTAGCATTGCGATTGTGGTAGTACTTATTGAACTTGCGGGATGGTTCTCTCATTTGACTCATTTTCCATGATTGAGTATATTTGGGTTGTTTCTTATTGGTGCACGGATTGCGTGGGTTATGGTTTTAGGTTATATTGATGTGGTATGTCACTAGAGTGATTGTGTGATGAGATGAGGTCATCAGACCTAGTATGGGTGCTATCGGATTTATTTGCAGTATATTTGGAAGGATAATGTCGTTGGTCGGCTTAGAATTGGGTATTGTTCCTATTGAAGGAGAGAGAGCTCCATGACTTGTTGATCTGATAAGTGATTATGAGTTTCTGCGTGTTTCTTCCATCAATGGCAGTGTACGAAGGTTTTAGAACGATGTTTTGTTTGATATGGTTTATGAGTATATGAGTTATGTGGTATATCATGTGATTTCATCTTGGGTTATGGTTGTGGCTTAATACAGTTTGTTCACACTTATACAGTGTATAGATACAGGATTCAGATCTAATGGAAATTCCGGATGTTGGGAATTAGATTATGTGGTTTATGGACTAAGGTTGAAGTAATGATCTTAAGTTATGTTGCGTTGTCAAGACTATATGGATTAGGTGGACGTGGGATCACCCCTGGGTATGTGCATGGTAAGGTTACACGTCGATTTGATGGCTAGGGAACGACTCTTGGCACGTTCAAGGACGAAGTATGTTTAAGTGGGGGAGGACGTAACGACCCGACCGGTCATTTCGAGCATTTACACTTTGCCCAGTAGTTTTAGGGCATGAGTATCTCCATATGATGTATTATGACTTATGCAAATCGTCGGTTTTGGTTTTCAAGTTATTCAGAATTGATATGGAAGAATGAATCTCATTGTTGAAGCTTTAAATTAGAAGAGTTGACCAAGTTTGACTTTTTAGTATTTGACCTCGGATCGGAGTTTTGATGGTTCTGTTAGGTCCGTATGGTGATTTAGCACTCGAACATATGCCCGCATTTGCATTTGGATATTTCTAGAAGGTTTCGGCACAAATTGGCGAAACAATTGGAAATTTGAAGGTTTGAAAACTTCATAAGTTTGACCGAGAATTGACTTTGTGGATATCGGATTCGAATTTTGGTTTCGGGAATTTGAATAGCTTCGTTATGTCTTTTGGGACATGTGTGCAAAATTTGGGTTCATTCTGAGTTGTTTAATATGTTTCGGCGCGAGTTTTGCAAGTTGAAAGTTCAAGTTCATTTAAGTTTGGTTTGAGGTGCGATTTGTTGTTTCAATGTTGTTTGGTGTGATTTTATTACTCGAGTAGGTCCGTGTTATGTTATCTGACTTATTGGTATATCCGGATGAGGTTCCGAGTGGCTCGGGTGAGTTTCGGACGGGGTTCGGATCGATTGAAGCCTTGTTGAAGCTGCTGGAAATTTTGGGTTGCTGGTGCAACTGTTTCGCGGTAGTTTGGTCGCAGAAGAGACTCCGTAGAAGCGAGCAGCCCATCGCATAAGCGTAAAGGGATACGTTTGGAAGCATTGCAAATGCGAAGTTTTGGGCTGCATTTGCGTTATTGCAGAAGCGATGGATTGGGCGCAGGAGCAGACGTCTACGCAGATGCACGGTTGTTATCGCACATGCGATGTCGCAAGAGTTGATGAGTTTCTGCAAGTGAGAAGAGCCATTTCTCCTGTTGATTCTGCAGAAGAG